GCGCACACACACACAAACACTCACACACGCATATGCTCACTTACTCACTCACAGACCTCCTTGACACAGCACACTACACATACACACACACACACACACACACACACACACACACACATGCACACACACACAAACACTCACACACGCATATGCAAACCTATGTGCTGGTTTCTCACTACACATACACGAACTTCACAGACACACACCAACACTCATGTACCAACACAAGCACCTCCTCCTACCTCTAGCTTTCTCCACGCCATCTCGCTCTCTTCCTGTCTCACTGTTACTAATGCACATGTATACATATTAAAATAATCACACCAAAAATTGAGGAGTCGTACAGAAAATATCTGATTGCAAACAAAAATAAAAGAGAAGGAAAAACGTTAAAAGATTTTAAAACGTACAAACAAGCAAAGACCCCCCCAAAAAACAAACAAACAAACAAACAAACAAAACAAAAACAAACCACCAACAACAACAACAAACAAACAAACAAACAAAAACAAACAAACAAACAAAAACCCCAAAACAAAACAAAACAAAACCCCCCCACAAAAATACACAAAAAACAAACCAACCAACCAACCAACCAACAAACAAAACAAACAAACAAAACAACCAACCAGCTCGAACCTTCTTTCTACCAGCAAATAGCCTGGATCGATAACAACACCAGCAAATAGCCTGGATCGATAACAACATCAGCAAATAGCCTGGATCGATAACAACATCAGCAAATAGCTACCTTAGACTAGAAGTTCTATCTGCTCAGTTCCGACTTTTGAGAAATTTGACGTAGAAATATTTGCCAAGCTTTACTTTTCATGCTAAGTACCTCTCTTTGCAACATAATCAAGTATTAAAATGAGTCGTAGAGCCTACATTTTTTTCAACCCAAATTTAATTCAAAGAAACAATTTGTTGCCAAAAAAAAAAAGTAAAAGTAAAATGCCCCTATCAAGACTATCAGGTTATTTAAGAGGCAGGGACTCCGATTTTAAACTCCGTCCTCTATAGGACAGAGCCAAATAAGTTAACGGCCTTGAAAACCTCTTCAAGAACCTCCAGTGAACTCCCAGTCTAGGATTTGAACCAGGATCGCCCGCTCCATAGCCCGGTATGATACGGAGTACCTGCAACTTGTTGGGAACGCCTCAACAAACTAACCTTACTATAGTCAAGTGCACTTGGCACCTTTTCCCCTTGCCCACTCTTTGGCTACAATGGCGCGTCCCATAGTAGTTCCGGAAATACGTCAGTGTACGCAGTCTAGGAATTAAAGTCTTTGGGACCCAGCCAAGGTTCTATCAAGGTTCTATTTAAAGCCTCCTTGGACACAGCCAGCCAAAAGCAAACCAAAGATCGTGTATAGTAGAGAATCTTTGAGCAAACAGTTTACACCAAACCTGCAGACCTGCAGGGAAGAGTTACTTATGCCGCAGTCCTAAAAGCATTTCGACGATTTGTTGACGTCTGGTATAAAACAATTTCTAAGTGTCTCTAGAAGCAGTATGTTATAAAATCTATGTAGACTCTAGTCTTGGGAGAGAGCCGTGGGTAAGTGGTTGGTCCAACTTCCTCTATATCCCACCTCTTTTCTTTCTATAGTATATCGGTCTTACTCTTTCCCGACTCTGGAATTAATGATAAACCTTTCTATCTGGTTCTTTTTAGTACTGTTATTTTGTAAAACGAACTAAATAAATGATGAAGAGTGAAAGTGTGTGTATGTCATGTGTATGTGTGTATGTGTGTGTGTGTGTGTGTGTGTGTGTGTGTGTGTGTGTGTGTGTGTGTGTGTGTGTTTGTGGGGTGGGGTGGGGTGTGTCAGTTTAAGGGGGAAAGGGGAGGGGGGGGGGGGGGGGAGTTTCTGGGATGTTTGCAACAGTGACTCAAAGAAATATTATTATAATGGAGCCATTAATTTTTTTATTACAGAGGTGAAAATCTCACAAATCTTGATTTAGCTCCAGAATAAAACTATATTGACAGGAGTGTCTAATGCTGGAAGGTTTTCAGTCTGCACTTGCATAATTATTTGGTAGACTGCGTCTTCTCATTTTACTTTTTAAACTTCTCCCCCCTCCCACTTCTCCATACCCCTCGCCCCCTTCCCGGGCCACAAAGTCTAGTAAAAATTAGTAGGGTAATGAGCTCTGATTTCCTCATTACAGCACACTGCCACTTCCGCCTCACACATCTGCGCATTCTCTGATTTCCTCATTACACCGAACTGCCACTTCCGCCTCACACATCTGCGCATTCTCGCAAACATCGTAAAAAAACAAAAAAAAACCCCAGCAACCAACAAGCAACAAACAAACCAAACATTTGTAAAAATCCCGTTACTCCAACCGCATACGGCTGCTCATGGCGTAAACATTTGATTTTGAAATAATCATTTCTTCAACTGCGCACGATCCTTTTTCTCACACTACTGCGCATAAACGTGAACAATAATAATATTAGTATAATTAAAAAGTATCACTGCGAC